TCGCCTGTGCCTGTCTTGGCCGCTGGTCCACGGGGCGACTGGTAGCCCGCCCTGTAGGCACCAGACTTGGGCCCCGCAGGCTGAGGTCGCTCCAGACGGTGCTCCCGAAACAAGACGGCGTCGTACACCGCGCCCTTTACCCCTCCTTGGCCCGCTCCAAGTGCTTGAGGCCAGTAGGCCAGGCATTGGAGTTGCACGTGAGCATCTTGATCTCAGCCTGGCCGTCAAAAGCCTCCATCTCGCCGGCGTGGGGGCGGCCTCCGTCGTCGTCGATCCTCCTCCTCCTCCTCCTCCTCCTCCTCCTCCTCCTCCTCCTCCTCCTCCTCCTCCTCTACCTTCTCTTCCTCCTCCTCCTCCTCCTCTTCCTCCTCCTCCTCCTCCCCTACCTCCTCTTCCTCCTCCTCCTCCTCCTCCTCCTCCTCCTCCTCCCCCCGTTGTCGATCCTGACGTTGTGGCCGAAAGAGAACGGGGCGAACACCAGGCCAGACCAGCACGGGAGGGGCCGCTCGGCCTGGGGGCTGCAGTCCGCTCTTTGGGCGTCCCCGAGGCGGAGGCCGGGCAAGGCGGGGAGGCTTCGACCACCCGCTTGTCTGCGGCTTCCCTCGCTCGCCCGCGGCCCTCTCCCCTTAGGGTTTGCCCAGGCCATGGGCCTCTCGGCCCCCCAAGGACGGCGGGGCGCCCCAAGCAGTCGGACCGCCTGCGGCGATCCAGCAGCGCGCGGAACATCTCAACGATGCTCTGCACTTGGGCCCGGTGGTGCCCCGCAGAAGGCTGCCAGACTGCCTGGGCCAGCGGCCTCGTCATGGCGATGAACCTGTTGCGCCGACCTCTGCCTCGAGCCCACGCCGAAAGACAGGCTTCCCGAACAGCCTCATCTGACAATCCACCAGGACTGTCTCGACGCACAGGGCTGTACCTCAGCAAGAAGGCACGGCGGAGCTGGGCATTACCTGCCTGGCTGAGAACTTCCCGTAACCACGGCTCACACCAGTCCATCCACGACGGCATGTCCAAATACGTCTGGCCCTCGAAGTTCCAGATCCACCGAGCACTCCAGCCAGACATCATGATCACGAAATCGCGACGATGCCGATCTGGATCAGGCGGGGCCACAGCAATGTCTGGCGGCGGTAGCCCCATCCAGAAAGACGGGCTAGACACACTTCTGCGCCACTCGGTCACGAGCGGCTGCGACGGCGGCTGCTGGCTGCTCTGCAGAGGGCAAGCCGCTGCCCGCTCTTGGGCCAGGGAGGCCTCCTCCACTGGCCGCGCTCGGAGTGGCAGCTCCGCTGGCGGCGGCTGGGGCAGCAGCGGCCGCGTCTCCGCCAGGGCCGTCGGCAGCAGGCTGCCCAGCAGGGGCAGCAGCGCCATCGTGCTGCGAGGGAGCCGCGGCCCATGGGCCACCCGCGCCTTCGGCTGGCGATCCGCCAGGCGGGGCAGGCTCCTCGCGGCGAGGCCTCTTGGCGGCCAGGCGCTCTCGCATCTCTCGGGCCTCCTGGCGCAGAGTCTGGATCTTCTCCGCGCTGGGCCCGATGGCCGCCAGGATGGCGGCGCGCATCTCCCTGCCCATGTTGGACTTGATCTCCTGCCAGCGCTGCTTATCCTGCTCCTCCACCTCCAGGTCCGATAGGTCGAGCAGGTCTCCGTCGATGGTGTCCACCGTGTCGCCAGCCTGCTCGGCGTGCAGCAAGTGCGACAGGTTGATCTGCGAGGCGCCAGCAGGCGCCGCGGCCGAGGCGCCCGACACCGAGCTGGGGGGCCGAGCGCCTCCTGCTCGGTCGAGCTCCAGCTGCAGCTCCGCCTGCCACTCCAAGTTGGCCTGCGCCGCCGACTGCGCCGCCAGCGCTGTCGCGTCGCGGGACTCCTCGAACCGGGCCTTGGCCTCGTCCTCCTTGCCGACGCACTGCTCCACGTAGGCCTCGGCGCGGCGGCAGGCCACCCCTTGAGCAGACACCTGGGCCTCCAGCAGCGGCGGGCGCGCAGGCTTGACCTCCTGCGGCGGGTCCTGGGGCCCGATGGCGCTCTCCAACGCCTGGAGCTCTTGCGCCGCCGCCGAGCCCGCAAGGCGCTCCTTGAGCTGCGCCGGCAAGTCGACCGTCGCGAGGCCACCATCGACGGCACGGGCACCGCGCGGTGGCGGCGTGGAGCCGCGGTGCCCCGAGAGGGCCTGAGGCTTGGGCCCCCGCTGCCGCTCCCCAGGAGGGGCCGCGGGTGGCCGCTGAGAGAGCAGGCCTCCGCCTCCTTGGGCCCAGACGCCCTGGGCCGCGTCACGCCAGGGCACCTCGAGCGGGGCGAGCGGGGCGTTGCAAATTGAAGCAGAACGCCCCTGGACTTCAGTTCCGCCTGTACCTGCAAGACGCGCAAGAGACGAAGTTCTTTGCATCCTGCTTGCCTATGACTCGAATCGTCGACGTGCCCGCTGGCACAAGAAGTTTACAATAACGATGCTCCTGCAGGAGCTCACAGGGTTTCCTGAACGCGGGGCCCAGGGATCGCTGGTCGGGGCGCACCTCCCCCTTGCCACTCTCAAATCTGAGCCGCTTTGCTCCGGACTTGAGCCAAAGCGGTTACGGAGAGGAGGAGGAGGAGGAGGAGGAGGAGGAGGAGGAGGAGGAGGAGGAGGAGGAGGAGGAGGAGGAGGAGGAGGAGGAGGAGGAGGAGGAGTTGGACGGATCGAAGCGCGGGAGTGACCTCCCCGCCCAGCCCTGCGACGGCCAACCGCCACTGGCGGCGGGCGCTCTGGCAGCTCGCAGGGTTTTGCGCAGGTGGGGCCCCAGGCGGCCCGAGCCAGAAAGCCAACTGCTGTCTGGTAGGGTCTCTGCGGTTTTCTAAAAGGGGGCCCCACCCTCTCGGGAAGAACCCAGCTGCGTGCATCGCCCCCTCTTCCCGAGGCCAGCATAATACGACAGATTCGCGCACCCGAGGCCCAGATGCCTCCAAGACGGCCCAATCCCGCTCCAACCACGGCCACTTTGGCCTCAAGACGGCTGAAGATATCCCCACGCGTTTTCTACATTTCAGTCGGGCCTGTCCTCCTACAGAGGGATTTTGGACGAAGCATAAAACATACTCCAGAGATTCCCCCAAATGGTCAACAACGCGCTCGAAAATCGCCCCCAGACGATTTTGGGACTATTGTTGAATATTCCCCCCTGTAGAGGGGCAGGCCCAACTCAACTCTATACATGAGGCGTTCCAAAGAGGGCCTCGCCTTCGAGGATCGAAGGAGTTGCCATCTCTTCCGCGGCGGAAGGGCGGCGGAACCCAGAGGTCCAACGTGTTGAGAAGATCAAGGCGGATTTTTTGTTGCCCATTCCAGCCCCATGGGGGCCCTCGCCGGGCCTCGGGACCGTCAAAAAACGAGTCAGGATGAAAGCCCGGTCCTGGGGAATGGGTCGAGACTTCGGAGGCCCCGTACAGACAAAAATCACGACATCGGATCTCTAGGAAGGTCGGCGGAAGTAAAACGAGGCCGCCTCTGGCGGGCGGAAGCGGCGGAAGGCCGGCGGAAGGCGGTGGAAGCAAAAGGATGCGCCCCCACGCGTGTGTGCCGAGATGGGTGTGCCGAAATGGGTGGCTGGGATGCATGCGGGCTGCTCCACAGGGACCCTCGGTTGAGCTCCTCTGGGGGTCACGAAACGTGTGAGGGTGGACGGGGGGAGGGAGGGGGAGGAGGAGGAGGACGAGGAGGACGAGGCAGGAAGGAACGCGGGCGGGACGCTGTCCCTTCAGAACGAGGGCCCAACACCACAGGATGGTTGGGGGAAAAAGGCGCCCTAAAGGGACGAAAGCGTGTTTGGGTGCCTGGTTTCCGCCGGCGTGCCCCCGCTGTCGCCTGGCCGCCCGGCAGCCAGTCGCTCCCGCAGCTCTGCGATCGCGCATCGGCGAGGGTGCTCGCGTCCAGGCTGTTCTCAGGAGGTAGTTTTCAGTCGGGCCTGTCCCTTTACAGGAGGAGTATTCAAGAATAGTCAAAAAATAATATGGGGACGCTTTTCTGAGTACGCTTGCGTATGTTTGGAATGTGGTTTGAGTATCTGTTGTTTTTCGTCCAAAATCTCCCTGTAGGGGGACACGCCCGAGCTAAAGGTAGTGTCAGTTTTGTTTGAGCGTGCCGATCGCCGAGTACTCTGGAGGGGGCAATAATCGCCCCCCCTTGGATCCGCTTGGGGGGTTGGGCACGTGCTGTCGGCACGGGTGAAGGGGGGGTTGGAGGAGGAGGGGGAGAAGGAGGAGGGGGAGGAGGAGGAGGAGGAGGAGGAGGAGGAGGAGGAGGAGGAGGAAGGAGGAGGAAGGAGGGGGAGGAGGAGGAGGAGAATGAGGAGGAGGAGGAGGATGAGGAGGAGGAGGCGGGGGGGATGGGCAAGCTCCGTCGGAAGGTTAGTCGCAGACCCCTCGATTCATACCCCACCCAGAGTAGTGTCTCTTTTAGTTGAGCGTGCCGGTCGCCGAGTATGCGGTGACGGTAACCGGGCCAGCGAATCGAGCATCATTGTTCTTTGTTGTGGACGGGTCTAGCCCCCTTGAGGGAAAGCGGGTCTGCCCCGGTAGGGTTGACTCCCCCCCGCCTGAAATCAGCCAACAAAGACTGCATACACATAAGCTTTCGGGGTTCCGCACAGACCTCTTGCATCGGCGCTACGCCCCCCCCCCCCCCTCTGTCGGGGGAGCGTAAGACCCGGGTTTGCCAGGACTCGGGTTCGCCATCGTTTTTTGACGACCGCGCATCGGATTTTGACGAGGAGGAGTTTCGTGGGATGTCTGCAGCGGGAGGCCTCGTCAAAGTGCAGGCTCGGCCTCGTCATTTTTTTGACGACCTCGTCGGGGATTTCCGAGTCCCCTGTACCCAGGTCTTACGTCCCCCTGACTCTGGCGCCCTTTGTATCCCGCTCGTCTCCGCGGCATCGCTATGCGCCGCCCGCGGATGCAATCGGTGGGGTGTGAGGTTGGCAAACAGCAAAAACATGTACATGTAGGTTGTTGTTTTTCTATGGGCGCCTACACAGCCTAAAGCCACTTCCCCTCTTCTCATGCTTGCAGCCTGAAGAGTCGAGCTCCAGCGCGCGCTGCCCGGGGAACGACGCCACCTGAGCGCGCCGCAGCCTTTTCGGCCCCAGCTCCCGCAGCCAGCCGGCCAACGGGTCTGCGGCTTGCTGGGGGGGGGGGGGGGGGGGAGGAGGGG